CATGAACATTTCTCAGTTTGGGTAAAAGAAGGGAGAGGGGGCTGTGTCGCACCATAGCTGTACATTGAAGGGGGTTGGGGGAGACAGTTGTTGATGAATTGATTCTGACTTATGGAGGGACTGCATAGGTGTCAGAGTAGAACTGGGTTCTGTAGGATTTCCTCCTCCTTTGTTTTAGAAATGTTTTTTTATTGATTTAGGTGAAGGTTTACAGAGTGGATCCTGAGTTTTACATTCAACAATTGGGACACGTTTTATTCCGGCTCCTCCATTTCAGTCCCCTCCTCGCCCCTCCCGCTTCCTCTTAGGGTTCCTCCTGCCTGTTCCTCCCAGGTTCCTAACCCTCTGCCCGAGTTTTTACATTATTTTCAGAAAAATGTTAATAGACTTATTGAGCTATCATTGACAGATCACACCACTCAGTTCAATGCTGTTAAGAAGGGTTGTGCATTCATCACCACCATCAACGTGGGAGCTTTTTCTTCCTCCTTGTACCCATTAATGTTGACTCTCCACTTCTGGTACCCTCCCCTTCCATGCCCCCGGGCAATCATGAATCCAGCTACTCTCATAACTCCACCCATCTAGGCTTCCTTGGCATCTCTATTGTTCTTACCCCATTCATTATTCTAACACAGGGTGAAGTACAGGGAGGGTAATTCAGCTTCAGAGCTGAAGGGTAACTAAGGGCCATAGTTTTGGGGTTCTACCTAGTGGCATGGTGGTTACTTGTTGGGTTGCTAACTGCAAGGTCAGCAGTTTGAAAGGACCAGTCTCTCTGAGGGAGAAAGGCAGGGCTTTCTACTCTACCATAAATAGTTACAGTCTCAGAAACTCACAGAGGCAGTTCCACCTTGTCCTATAGGGTCACTATGAGTTGGCAGCTTCAAATCAATGGTATTTAGTTTGGTTTTGGGAGGGCAGTTATCAGTCTCTATCGGCCAATAAGCCTAGTCTCTTTTATAACTTGGGTGCTGTTCCACATTTGGTCCCACTCTCTGCAGGATTTTCTAATGTGATCCTTTTGCACCACCTAGTTATTCTTGCCTAAGGGTTGTGGACACTGATGTTTGCTTGGTCCATTAGGCCATTGAACTAATGTTTCCTTTACTGTGCTGGGTTACTACGATCAGGTCCTTGGAAGAAAGGTCTGGTAATCGACTTCCCCAAAATCAGCCACTGAAAACACTTTTGAGCATCGTTCTCCTGGGACATACTCGGGATTGCCATGAGTTAATGGAACCGCAACTGGGCATTGGGAAGACCTGGGAAATTTAAGCAGTACTGATGCCCAGGCCTGCAACCAGAGATTTCTGAGTTAATGGCCTGGGCCGTGGGAATTGTAATATGTACCAGGAGGCAATGAGGAGCCATCTCAGTGCAGCCACCTATCTGGGAGGTTCACTCCTGGGGTGAGATGATGCATAGTGCTGACTCCACTTGGCCATAGGCAAATACTTAACCATGAGGAGTGGGGGCAGCATTAAGGAGGACTGCTCTCTAAGAGAATGGACGCCACTCAGTGACTTCAAAGCTATGAACTAAAAGCAGGACAATTCTGACTCATAACGACCCTACGGCAGGGTTGAACCGCCCCTGGGGCTCTCTGAGACGGTAAATCTCTATGGGAGTAGAAAGCCCCCTCTTTCTTCTGTGGATCACCTGGTGCATTCCACTTGCTGACTTTATGGTTCGCAGCTCAGCGCATAACCATCACACTATCAGGGCTAAACGTTTCTCTGCCCCAACCCCTCTCTCCCTCTCCCTACATTGTTGCCCGCCTTTCCCAAGACAAGGGGCTTCTCATTTAGCCAACCACAGAAATGCCAACATTTAACATTTCCTTGTAATCAGACCTAAAAGATGGAGTGAGGAAAGACCATAATTCTCAATCGAGATATGACGGATTCCCCATTGAAGTCTGTTGTTAGGTACTGTTCAGGTGAGCCCAACTCCCAGGGGCCCAATGTGTCCAGAGTAAGCCTACTCCCCGTAAGGTCTTCAAGGCTGTGAACTTCAGGAAGCAGACCGGCAGGCCTGTCTCCCCAGGGACCTCTGGATGGGTGTAAGCAGTCAACCTTTTGGTCACTCAGTGAGCGCTCAACCACTTGCACCATCCAACACTCCTCATTGGAGTGTAGAGGGAGGAAGAGTAGTTCCTGATGATGGAACCAGGAAATACAAATGGAAAGCATAAAGTAGCATGGCAGAAGTATGATAGAAAATATCAGATCTCCCCATGACATGAAAAGAATCAACCCTCTTCTGAAAGGACAGAAATGGTCCAGCCCTCGGGGTTTTGTTTAAGATACTATCGTCTCCTTCTTTTCTAACTCTCACTCTGTCAGTGTTGGGCTGTGTGGGGTCTGCTCTAGTTAGATGCCCCTGGATCAGTTCCGACTCATGTTGCTGTTGTTAGGTGCCATCACGTCACTTCCCACCCACAGCGAACCGACACACACAGAGTGAAACACTGCCCAGTCCTGTGCCAGCCTCACCACTGTTCCTGTGCCTGAGCCCATTGTTGCAGCCACTGTCAATCCATCTCTTTGAGGACCTGCGTCCCTTCCACTGCCCCTCTACTTTCCCAAATGTGAGGTTCTTCTTCAGGGACTGTTCTCCCCTGACAACACGTCCAAAGGATGTAGGATGAAGTCTTGCCATCCTTGCCTCTAAGGAGCCCTCTGTTCATCCTTCTTCCAAGACAGGTTGGTGTGTTCTTTTAGCAGTCCACGGTGCTCTCAGTATTCTTCTCCAGCACAATTCAAACTCATCGATTCCTCTTTGGTCTTCCTTACTCAATGTCCAACTTTCACATAGGAGACAGCACATGAGACAGCAAATGAGGCAGCACACATTAGTACTGAAAGTAACATCCTTGCTGCACAAGACCACTTCCAAGAGGTCTTGTGCAGCAAAATTTTATTTGAAGGTGATATCAGTGGTATTGTTCTATGATTTGCAAATTCTATTAAGTCACCTCTATTTGGAATGGGTACAAAGAGGGATCTTTTTCAGTCAGCTCCTGGCACAGACAAGTGAGTGTTTCCAGCGCTTCATCAGCCTGTTGAAACATTTTATTTGGTATTGCAGCAATTCCTGGACCCTTAGGTTTGGCTAGTGCGTTCAGTGCAGCTTGGACTTCTTCCTTCAGCACCATTGGTTCTTAATCAGACACGAACTCTGGAAATGATTGGCTGTCAACTCGCTCTTTCTGGGCAGTGACTCTATGTTCTCTTTATTTTCTTTTGCTGCTTCCTGAATCGTTCAATATTTTGCTCATAGAATCTTTCAACAGTTCAACTCAAAGCTTGAATTTTTTCCTATAGTTCTTTCAGTTAAGATAAGCTGAAGGGAAAAAAAGACATGCTGAGCATGTTCTTTCTTTCTGGTTTTCTGACTCTAGGCTTGTACACGTTTCATGATAATATTTTACTCAAATTTCTTGAGCTGCATTTTGCAATATTCTGTTTCGCTCTTTGACTTCTTCATTTCTTCCATTTGCCTTAGCTACTCTATGATCAAGAACAAGTTTAAGTCTCTCCTGGCAGCCACTTTGATCTTTTCTTTCTTTCCTGTCTTTTTCATGACCATTTGTTTTCCTCATGTATGATGTTCTTGATGTCATCCCACAGCTTATCAAATTTCTTGTCATTCGTGTTCTTCAATAGTTCAACTCTGTTCTTGAGATGTTCCCAAAATTCAGGTGGGAAAGACTAAAGGTTCTATTTTGGCTCTCTTGCACTTGTCTAAATTTTCTGCAGCTTTATCCTGAACTTACAAATGAGCAATTGATGATCTGTTTCATAGTCTGCCCCTGGTCTAGTTTTAGCTGCTGCTATTGAACTTCTCCATGGTCTCTTCCTGTCAAACCCCAAACGAAATGCACTGTCATGAGTTGATCTTGATTCATAGCAACCCTAAAGGGCAGGGTAAACCTGCCTTGGTAGGTTTCTGAGACGATAAATCTTTATGGGAGTAGAAAATCTCGTCTCTCCTTTGGAGCAGCTGGTGATTTCAAACTGCTGTCGACCCAGCTTGGGATCCACTGTGCCACCAGTGCTCCCAGCATGGCGTCGAAAGGAGAAGGAAGGAAAAAGGACACAAGAGAGGAAAGACCTTAAAGGTCACAAACTAAGAGACTGGTTAGAGAGATTACATAGAGTTGACAATTGGTAGTAATTAAAAGTACCTGGAAAGATGCTCCCACGCATGTGATGGAAAGATTCTGTTATGGAAACAGCTATATATAAATATATACATTTTGGCACAGACGGTCCATATTTCATTATTAATCTATTTGTGTATGCGTTTACATGGAGCTGAGGGCCGGGAGTTGGTATGTGGGCAGGATGCAGAACTGGCTGGAGAAACCAGGAGAGGAATGAGCACAGGTTGCCACCTAACTAATGCCAGGGCTATTGTACTCAAGTTCTTGTACTGAAGTTGTCAGATGTTTTAAAATATTTTTTAATTTAAATGGATGATGGTCATTACAAAAAAAGAGAGAAGAAAACATAACATTGAGCCAAGTCAGTCATGGCTGTTTTTATAGGGAGATCTCCTAGGCCTTCCTTCTCAAGTTCCCGATCCATATGCGATACCCCATCTCCTCTTTGATCTCCCAGTGTCCCACTTGTCTTTGTCCAATCCCCAGATACGGACATGGTAAGCTCCCAATAGTAGGATTGGGTCTTATGATTCTTCAGGACCTCCCCGGTGAGTCCAGGTAGAACTGCACAGCTGCTTCAGGGGGAGGGGCTGGCCCCAATTGTCTGGCAGGGCGAACTGATGAAAGGTCTCTGAGCCCAGGAGTCAGCAGAGGGACATCTGGCTGAGACAGTTGAGGAGAGCCCAGAGCTGAGCAACTGGGTGGAGCCCAGCATGTAGTGGGAAGGCAGGCAGAGACCTGCTGTTAATAGCCTGTCCCAAGTCTTCACGCTTGTGTATAATTTATCGTGTTAACCTGTACTTCTTTTGTCTTCGTGTGGTGTGAACAGGTTCTAACATTCTCATGGACCAACCCTGCTGTCGCGGTCTCTATGACTTTGAGCCCGAAAACCAAGGAGAACTAGGATTTCAAGAAGGGGACCTCATTACACTGACCAATCAGATAGATGAGAATTGGTATGAAGGAATGCTGCACGGGGAGTCTGGGTTCTTCCCCATTAATTATGTTGAAGTGCTTGTGCCTTTACCTCAGTAAATGCGTAACTTTGGGCCTAATTTCATAACGGAAATGAACTCACCCTAATGCTCTCGCTGTGGTGTTCTGTGACATCCTTGCTCTCTGACCAATGTGACCACTTTTCTATGCGTGTTGTTGTGCTTTTTAAAATGTATTTTGTATCCCTTTAATTTGTATAAATGACTTTCTTGTCTTAGCTGTACCAAAAATAGTTTTCTTTTTCGCTTATTGTTTTAAAAGTCATTGGTTAAATGTATGTACTTATTCTCACTAGAAACAAATGGCACCCATTGGCGTTCTGTCAATGATTTGCCCCTCCTCCTCAGCGGGCGTGGTTTGAAAAGGCAACATTTGACTAAGAAATGCGAAATATCTTGTTTCCAGCATCCCTGTTTTCCTCCACCTTTTCCCATTCAGTGTGTTTTACTTTACCTATAAATAGCCCAATAAATATGACACACTTCATTGCCAAACGGTGTTGTTGGTTATTCTTAAGGCTAAATTTCTTTCTTATAACACTTTTTTGAAAAATTATAAATTAGGTGGGGGTTTGTATTTCAGATCATTGAATTTGATAAAATGGTTTATCAGCAGTTTAAACTACTACTGATCAAAAACCCTAATAGTGGACCTTCACCTCCTCTGATTTCCCTTCTCCCTCTTGTGGACTTCGAATTTTCCTTTCACCCAAGCTTAGACCCATCAGTCATCTAGCCCTTTGTTTTATCTTCCATCCCTTGCCCCGCCCTCCTTGCAAATCCCCAAAGTAAGCAAGTCCCTTTGGTATGAAAATCTTTCTCTTCTCCCCCTCCTCCCCTATAATAGTTTTCCTATAATATTTCCCCTTTTGTGATTGACTCATTTCACTCAGCATAATGTTCTCTAGGTCCATCAGGCTGCGAGGTGGTAGATTTTTAAGCACAGTCTTACAGCTGCACACTCCTCCTGTGCCCCATGACTGACCAGAGAGTCACAGCACAGATGCCTACCTGTTGGCTGCTGAGCAGGCTTGAGGGGGCTATTTCTTCTGAACCAAACACTTTCCAGTGAGGGCATGGAAAACCCTTCCATGCTTGTTCAAGTTTATGTTTTTCAAGGGCCTGACTCAGCTGCTTCTGCTGCCAAATTGTTGGTAGGTTTTGAAAGCAAGCCCTGCTATGGATGCTTAGGAAACTGCACGGTCAGGAGGTTGGTTGAGTGCCCAAGAAGGTGATCCCTTAGACTTGGCTGCCCAGCACCTCGTCTTGCCTACTTGCATGCACTTTTCAGATACTTCGGGCCATGGAAGCAGCAGCGCCCCGTTGGGGGGGCGCGGGGGTGGTGGTGGTGGTGAGTGGGAAGATAGTCATTTCCCCTTACAAACACATTGAATGACTTGCCCAAGATCACCGAACCAAGAGGTGGCAGAGTGGGAGCTTGAACCCAGATTGTTCACTGGACCCCCCTGCCTTTACCTCAGTCTTTACCCAGGTCACTTGGACACGTGTTGCTGTTCACCAACGTTGTTGCAGCAAATGCTCAGAGTCCAGGTTGGTTTGGTCAGGTCCCTCTACACCCAGTGTCTCAGGCTCCTGAGTGTCCGGTACATCGGTAGATTCATAACAACATACCTAGGCATACTCTTTCTCCCTTGCTTTCCCAGCAGCCACCAATGCATTTTATTGGGGGCTCTTACAGCTCTTACAACAATCCATACATCAACTGTATAAAGCACATTTGGACATATGTTGCCATCACATATCCCTGGTCTTTTGAGTTACTTCTCATTTGGTTCTTAATTAGACATTCTCAAATGTCAAGAGCTCCCATGTTGGTTCAAGAATTTTGAGAATGAAGCAGAAGGGTGTTCAGGGATTAAGGTAAGACATAAGAGAGGCTTCTAGGGGCTCAAGAAATGTGGCTTAGTTTCTCAGACATTAGTGTGGGGGGCACTTAGGTCTTTGTCTTTGGTAGCTTCCTTTATTTTTGATTAAGGCCCAGTTGGAAATATCTTCCGTGGTCAGCCACCCTGGCATTGCATGGGACCACCACTGGAGGCAGTCAGAATCCAAGCAAAGAGGAGGGCAAAGGGCAAGAGATGGAGGTTCCCAGTGACTCTTATTAAAAGGCTACACTCCCATGGAGGCATCACCAGGCTACTATCTGATTGATAGATTAGATTCCACGCCTTCCTCCACACAGGTACATCAGTACATATTGACATAAAATCTAACAACCATAGCATTTTGGGGAAGGAGGTTAGCTTGTGGAGTGAGCTGCCTTTTGGCACTGTTGTTAGAACAGAATGAGGGGATAGTGTATGGCTTTGAGTCAGGAAAGATGTGTATCAAGCTTGCATCCTTTCACCATAGTTATTCGATCTATATATTAAGCAAATAGTTTGAGAAGCTGGAGTTTATGAAGAAGGACATGGCATCAGGATTGGAGGAAGGCCCATTAGCAACCTACAATATGCAGAAGGATTGCTTGCTGAAAGCGGAAAGAACTTGAAGCACAGGTAGAGATCAACTACTGCCTTTAGTATGACTTGCACCTCAACCTAAAGAGTACAAAAAGTTTCAAAACTGGATCAATTGGCAAGATCGTGATGAAAATATTGAGGAAGTCGAGGACTTCATTTTGCGTGGATCCATAGCCAGTACCCATGGATTTAGTAGTTGGTAAATTAAATAGGGAAGGCCGAAAATGAGCTGAGGCCTTTGAGTTATCACGGTGGCAAAGACTATTGTCTGCTGGAAAAACAAACAAACAAACAAACAAACAAACAAACCTGTCTCTGAAGAAGGACAGCAAGAATGCTCCTTAAAAGCCAGGGCAGTAAGCCTAGCTCAGATACTTAGGGCATGTTTTCAGGAGGGACTAGGTCTTGGAGAAGAACACCATGCTTGGTAAAGCAAAGTAAAGGGTTAGTGAACAAGAAGAAGTCCCTCAACCAGAGGGGTTGAGACCATGACCACCACAAAGGGTTCAGACATAGGAAGGATTGTTGGGATGAATAGATAGAGTCAGATGTAGTGCCAGACAATGATCCTGTCAGGTCAGAAGGCACTCAAACTATGACTGAGGAAAAGCTTCCCTCTCAAAGTAGAATCGACCATAATGACATTGGTGAAGTAAAGCCTTCAAGACCTTCATAGCTGATGGGGCACGACTCAAAAAGAAGAAATAGCTGTAAAGACCTATTAATAATCTGCAGTCATGAATCTAGGAAAATCGGGAGTGGTCAAAAATGGAACAGAACACAAAGATCAATAACCTAGCCCTTAGTGAGCTGAAATGGACTGTTATTAGCCATTTTGAATCAGACAATCATATGGTTAACTATGCTGGGAATGACAAAAGTTAAGAGAAACATTCTCACATTCACTGTGAAAAGTGACATGCCAAGTATCTATCTGGAAGATTCTATGAGCAAAATATTGAATGATGCAGGAAGCATCAAAAGAAGAGGAAAGACCACAGAATCATTGTACCAAAAAGAACTCCTCAGCAGCCAGCCATTTAAAGTAGCACACAATCAAGAATTGATGCTCTGTCTTTTGATAGCCGGACACCATCAGCTTTCTTCACCACATTTGATTATGCACCCATTTGTCTTCAGTGATCATATCGGGAAGGTGAGCACACAATGATATGTTTTTTTTCTTCTTTGATGCCTGAAACCTGATCCCTTTGACACCTCATGATCACACAGGCTGGTGTGGGTGCATATGTAAATATACTTATTTATGACGATGGGGAAATAGATCTATGTGTATATATTTATAGGTTTAGTATTAAGGGAGCAGATGGACATTGGGCCTCCACTCAAGTACTCCTTCAATGCAAGAACACTTTGTTCTATTAAACTGGCATTCCATGATGCTCACCTTCGCGACACGATAACTGAAGACAAAAGGGTACATAAGCAAATGTGGTGAAGAAAGCTGATGGTGCCTGGTTATCAAAAGATATAGTGTCTGGGGTCTTAAAGGCTTGAAGGTAAACAAGCGGCCATCTAGCTCAGAAGCAACAAAGTCCAGATGGAAGAAGCACACCAGCCTGCGTGATCATGAGGTGTCGAAGGGATCAGGTATCAGGCATCAAGGGAAAAAAAGTCATACCATTGTGAATGATGGGGAGTGCAGGTTGGGGACCCAAAGTCCATCTGTGGGCAACTGGGCATCCCCTTACAGAAGAGTCGCGGGGAGGAGATGAGCCAGTACGGGTGCAGCATAGCAATGATGAAAAATACAACTTTCCTCTAGTTCTTAAATGCTTACTACCCACCCCACTATCATGATCCCAATTCTACCTTACAGACCAGGCTAGACCAGAGATGTACACTGGAAACACAGGGAATCCAGGACTGATAAACCCCTCAGGACGAGTGGCGATACTGGAGGGTGGAGTGAAGGTTGGGTAGAAAGGGGGAACCTATTATAAGGATCTACATATAACCTCCTCTCTAGGGGAAAGACAACATAAAAGTGGGTGAAGGGAGATGTCGGGCAGTGTAAGATATGACAAAATAATGATAATTTATAAATTATCAAGGATTCATGAGGGAGGGGGAAGCGGGGAGGGAGGGGGAAAATGAGCTGATACCAAGGGCTCAAGTAGAAAAATGTTTTGAGAATGATGATGGCAACAAATGTGCAAATGTGCTTGACACAATGGATGTATTTATGGATTGTGAGAAGCGTTGTATGAGCCCCCAATAAAATAACAAAAGAAAATACCTTGGCAAAAAGAACCGATGGTGCTGAAGGAAGTAGTCCAAGCTGCACTGAAGGAATTAACCAAAAATAAGACTCCAGGAATTGACAGAATGCCAGGTGAAATGTTTCAACAAGCTGATGAAGCACTGGAAGCACTCATTCATTCATGCCACAAATTTGAAGACAGCTACTTGGCCAGCTGACTGGACCAGATCCATACTCGTACTCATTCTAAATAAAGATGCCCCAACAGAATTAGCAAATTAAAGCACAATATCAATATCACATGCAAGTAAAATCTTGCTGAAAATCATTCAACAATATTTGCTGCAGTACATTGACAGGGAGCTGCCAGAGATTCAAGCAGGATTCAGAAGAGGACATGGAAAAAGGGTGTCATTGCTGATGCCAGATGGATCTCGGCTGAAACCAGAGAATACTAGAAAGATGTTTTGTATTAACTATGCAAAAAATCGTATCATTGTGTGCTCACCTTCATGATACGATTGCTGAAGACAAATGGGTGCATAAACAAATGTGGCAAAGAAAGCTGATAGTGCCCGGCTATCAAAAGGTATAGCATCTG